TGCACTGCACGCCGGAGCTGGACCCCCACCGGCTACCTCCCAGGAGCCCTTGTGACACAGACTGCAGAGGGGACCCTGCGCCAGGAAACCCTTGGGCTGCGGCAGCCAGAGCCAGCCGAAGCCCAAGCTCAGGCTCGCCAGCACTGACCAGGGTCGGGTGGACAGTGATGGGGAGCCCAAAGCCTGCTCAGGAGCTCCAGACTGAAAGCAAGCGCCCAGTGACCACGGAGACCATGAGTCAACAGGGCTTGGACAGCAGCGCGGGCAGGGAGCACGGTCTACACGAACCTGGGGGATGGGGTCCTGGCCTCAAGCAGGACAGCGGCAAGCACGGGACCCACAGGCCAGGCAGGAGGAAGGGGAGCCCGAGGCCTGGCCAGGGCTCAGGGACGCAGCGCAGGGCAGGAGACGGGACATGACCCTGCTCCAGACCCAGCCCAGAAAGTCACTGGCCCCAGACACAGCCCAGGCCTCCAGGCAGCGACCTGTGGTCAAGACTGGCCACTGGAAGCCATAGTGTGGGGGGCAGAGCTGGGGGAGCAGGAGGGTCCAGACGTGAGCGGGCCAGATGACAAGGCCCTGCTATACCTGCAGCTGACCACCTGGGCCCAGTTGTCCAGAAGCCACAGGGTCCCCTCCCCCCAGTGGATACGCTGGCCTGAAGGGAGGGCACGAGGACCGTGGGTGGCCTCCAGCCTCAGCATGCCGGGCGAGCCACCTATGGGGACACACACCACTCCTGCCCACTGACACCCGCTCTGCATATCCCACACCCCAGCTCCCACGGGTGGCCACCCCACTCCCTCTGTCAGGCACCAATCAAGCTGCTGGGACACAGCTGCTGGTTTGGGGAGGGTGTGACCCCAAGGCAGAGCCAACAAAACCAGTGATTCACTGGACATCAGGAAAGACGAGCTCTCCTTCCACTCGGGCTGTGAGGCGCTGAACACAACAGCACCTGGATCCAACTGTGCCTGAAGCTTTTTGTAGTTACATGAGTCTTTTGTGCTAAACAGGAGAAACAGGGAGTCTGCTCGCGGCTAAGAGATGGAAGCCTAAAACCCTAATTTTAAGGGGCTCAGATCTCCCTGGGGTCAGCTCTCCACCCTCTGGGTCTCTCCTGGGTGCAGGAGCCTGGGACAGGCCCAGCCCAGGAGGAAGGGGCCGCTCAGAACCCTCACCCCCGGGAGGAGTGGCCTCTCCAGCGCCAGCTCGGCGCTGTCTGGCTCTAACAGGGACACAGGCAGTGGCGCCCTGCACGGCCTGACCCGGAGCTGGGCCACTCCCCAGCAGCACGCACACCCCACCTGGGCTGTCCAGCAGTGACCAGAGCCCGGTTGCCGGGTTCTGGAGGAACACTCTGCTCCCTCAAAGAGGGCCACCGCGCCACACACTGGTGAGCGAAGCCCGGCGAGCTGCACCCACCACAGCACCCGACTCCTGGCACAGTAAGAGCCCGGCGGCACGGCCCCCTCCGCCACGCACAGCGCCAGGGGCCTCACAGTCATGGACGTGGCCTCCCCCTCCCACAGCACCACCAGCACCACCAGCACCAGGCCAGGTCTCTGTGGCGCAGGCTCGTCACTGTACTCATTCTACAGCAAGTGGACACGGAGGTGAGTGACTTGCCCGAGGCCAACAGCCAGCAGGTGACCACACAGCCTAGGGGGGACCCGGCAGCCGCCCCGACCACTGTTCTCTGGCCAGTGCACCTCGACCTCCCTGCCCAGGCTGAGGGTCCCGACTCCCCACTAGGCTGCAGCCAGGCCCCAGCCCTGCCCAAACCCCTCACAGGTCCAGGCCACGTCCTGCCTGCCACGGGCGCCCACGAGCTGTGGCAGCTGGACCTGGACAACTCCATGTCCCCCCACCGGGACCCCAGGCCTGCCAGGAACCACCCAACTGGGTCCAGGAGGAGGCAGGCCACCCACCCACCCCACTTATCGCGGCAGCCAGGTGTCCCCGACATCAGAGCAGACCCATGGACGAGGGCCCACACAGGTCTCCGCAAGGCCCGGGGTCCAGGCCACCCACTGGGAGCTGAAAGGCCAGCCCTCCGCCACCCTCCGAGCCTCCTACAGCTGTGTGGCCTCTGCCCGGCGGCCTGCCCTCTCCGGTCAGGTTCCTCCGTTCTCCGGGGCTCCTGGCCAGCGGGGGGAACCCTGCAGCCCGATTCTGGCCCACGTCCAGCCTGTGGCCAAGGTGTCGGGGGCCCAGGGAGCCTCCCGCCTGTTGGGTCCCTCGCTCCCTGGCCAGGACTGAGGAAGGTGGAGGGCAAGCAGGGACCAGGCCTGCAGTGAGGGAGGCAGGGTCAGGGGTGCCTTCCTTCCTGCAAGGGCTGGACTTACTGACCCTGACCTTGTGCTGGACACTCAGGCTTGGCCAGGGCCCAGCACCACCCAGGCCATCTAGGGCCAGTAGGCCACCGGGGAATGACCACGGGGCAGCCTTCACAGCATGCTTGCTGTCCAGCAGCCCTGGAGGCCGCCCGTCCCCCTGCAGGGCACCTGGCAGGGCCCGTGCCACCTACCAGCCCTGGTGGTCCCGAGACCCCAGGGCCTGCGCGGCTCCGTCCTCAGTGGTTCCCATTCTACTGCCCTTGTCTCTCACGGGCCACTGGCCACCGGCCACCGGGTGGAGGGTCCCCTAGGAGTCCAGAGTGGTCTCACGCAGGGCCTGGTGCCGGGACGCAGGCGCGTCTCTCTGGGGGCCACCCACGCCATCGCACCAGCTGGGACCTCCTCCTGCTGCCCCACTCAAATGTGGCACGGGGTAGCCTCTACCTGGCCACCGCGGGGTCCCCCAGGGCCCCTCTCAGCAGGCCTGGCACAGGGGCCACCCGAGAGCCCTGCAGGCGGTGACTAGAGGTGGCTGCGAGGTTCCTGAGGGCCCAGGACGCCAAGCCCCAGGGAGCAAAGGGGCCAGCAGGAGCAGTTCTCAGGGAGATGAACAGGACCCCAGAGGAGCCCTGGCCCATCCAGCAAGCTGGCAGCCCATCCAACCTCTGTCCCCTGTAGAAAGGGCCCATTATGACATTACAGGCCAGGAACTGCAGTTAGCCAGAAAGGAGGCCAGAGCCACAAAGGGCTCATTGTCATGCAGATGACCGTGGGAGGGGCGGCTCCTCCCCACTCCCAGCTCCAGAGCTGCCAGATCACACCCCTGAGCTTCCAGAAGACTGGGCATCTGGGAGCCCCAGATCTGGGCCAAGCAGGGTGCACTCTCCCTAACCTGGCAGAGGGCCCTCCCAGGTCAGAGCCAGATACCCAGCACACAGAACCGGGAGGAAAACCAAGGGCCGCCTGGAGACGACTGGGATGATGCCCTCTAGGCACAGAAACACCGCACATCATGATGCCGTTTGTCTTTTAATGCTGTGTGTCTTTGGACAAGCCACCTACCCTCTCTGTGCCTCAACAGGGAAAAGTGATTCCATGCCAAGCTCCAGGGTTAGGTGTGCTAAAAGCCCCTTCCCCAATAAGCCAGCACTGCGCACGCTCCTTGCCTGTCCCTCTGCTTTATCCAGAAGGAGGGCAGGGGTCCCACATGGCACTTGGCAGTACAGAACCTTGCAGACCTCCCAGGGCTGCCCAGAATGCCCCAGCCAGGCAGAGGGGCCCGTGCCCCGTGGAGTCCCCAGGGCAGGACCCACCTACAGGCACGGGGTGCCCAGGAGGCCCACTGGCTGGCAAGGACAGCCCAGGCACTGAGGCAGGGCAGATACCTACAGCTACAGTGGGCGATCCCTGGGGGTCTGCACTGCCCGCCTGTCTCAGGTAGAAACGGTCATGCCCGGACCAGCTCAGAAAGCGGGGCCTGGGAGGAGACGAGGTCCCCAGGGCAGCAGCGGGAGGGGTCCTGGGAAGACACCCTTGGGGAACCAGGAGGCGGCCCTCAGCCACCCCACAACCCCAGCCCAAGGTTCTGAAGCCCCCACCTGGGGCAGAGTCACACTGGAACATGGGGCCGGGCAGGGTCCCAGAGAAGCATGTTCCAGAAAGAGTGCAAGGGTTCTCGGGCAGGACCATGCCCAGGTCCCCCAGGGACAGCCCACAGGCCAGGAGGCAGGGACGTCCCCAACCAAGTCCCTCCCTGTCCCTCAGGGCCCTTCAGGGCCGCTCTGGAGCCACAGGCATAAAGCCAGCCCTGCCCACCTCCTGGGAGGCCCAGGCCCCAGCTGTCACCTGAACCCCACTTCAGTGAGCTGAGAAGCTGAGCTCTGTGGCCCAGGAGTGAGGCTGCCAGACCCTCCAGACCCTCAGGGCCATGGCCCAGCCCCAGCCCAGAGGTGGAGCAGGGAGGAAGAGGAGACTGGGGTCAGAGAGGGCCAGCCACCCGGGGCAGCTGCCCAGCTGGCTCCTGGTCCAGGGTCTAGCCTCTCGTGGGTCGGCCTCGGCCTCCCCAGGGGTCTCGTGGCACCTCCCTTCCGTGACCCTGGCATCAACCTCCCAGGCAGGCACAGGCGAGGCCCAGGGTGCCCCCACTCCACAGGGGGCACTGGTGCCGGGGACCATGGTGGACATGAACCCAGGATGGCCCGGCCACCGTGAGCAGGCAGACCAGAGGCAGGCCAGCACAGCAAGGCCCAGGGACCCAGGACCCTGCCCGCCGTGGTCCCTGCATGGCCAAGGCAAGGCAGACACAAGGTAGGAGCCGCCGCCACCGCTGCCCCTTGCTCAGGGCTGGCCCTCACCCAGGGAGCGCAGTCTGAGCACTGGGTTCGAGCACTCCGTGGCACCGCAAGACTCTGGTGACGGCCACCAGCTGTGTGGACCTCAGCCCGGGTCCTATGGCCTGTCCTTCATAGTGGGGTAAGGGCAGGGGCAGCCTCAGCACAGCTCCATGGCCCTCTCAAGGGACAGCAAGGCCTTGGGACTAGGGAAGGGACATGCGCAGGGCCCCCACTTCGGGAGCTGTTCCTGAAGTCCCAGGGGGGACAAGGACACTCAGAAGAGGCCACTGGCAGGGACGGCCCTGTCGCCCGTCCAGGGGACTCCCCGCTGCCTCCTGCTAGCCGCAGAGTGGAGGCCCCGAGCCAGCCACCGGCCTGGCATCCGGTGTGCTTTACAGACACGGGACGGCTGCCACCTCAGCGAGCCAGACTCCCGCCTGGCCCGGCCCGCAGGCCCCAAGGCACCATGGAGGGGACCTGGCCTCGGGCTGGTGGGAGTTGTCCAGGGAGGGAGCAGAACGGCTCGCAGGGGCCCGGGGCCTCGCCCAGCCCAGGAGAGCTGGGTGTCTGCCACGCTCTGCCTCGCCTGAGGACCGCAGACTGCAGGGGACAGGAAAGGACGGGGACAGGAACTGCCCCGGCAACCCTGCGTCCACACACAAGCAGGCCCCGGGTCCCAGGGCCTGGGAGACTGAGCCTCCTGGAGGCCGGGAGCTGGACCTGAACCAGACGCTGACCTGCCCTTCCCTAACACCAGCAGC